ATGTGAGTTACTGTGTGGGCCTAGCGAATCCATTCACCCCACACCAGTGTCCTAAGGGATGGCAAAGCTTAAAGCGCAGCACACCAAGGTAAATATTAAATCACGGTGTCCTGTGCTTGTGCAATTTTATCCTTAAAGACCTAATATTCTCTAACAACATATATTGATAAGGTTATTTTAAAAGATCCAAACCTTAATAAGATAGGCTTTGAAAAGAATAGGCAGGTCAATTAAATTTCTCCATTAGTGGGATAATGGTCTTTTGGCTTTATTCTGGCATTTCTCTTCCACAGAGTACTAAGGAGCTCATAATCATTTGAATTTTCAGAGTGCAGCCCCAACTATTAATAATATGGAATACCAGCATCTAAAGTAACTACTTAAAAAACATTGTTAAGACCATGAAGTTGTAAAGCCAGAAGAAACCCTGAGAGGCCATCTGCCCCAGGTAAAATTGTTTTAGAATTATTTCAAGTATTTTATTTGCCCTATATAATAAATGTTCCTGGAATATTGCACAAACAGTGGGTCTCTTGATACAGTCTGCATTAGGTCCTTTCAGCAAAACCGGAACAAGTGAAATACATTCATATCTAAAGTAAACTGCTTTATCAACATACTTCTTTACCAAAAATTCTGCTGTACTAAAATTAAGGAGTATTTTTAAAGCATATGTAAGGCAGGTCCTCTTTGAAGGACAATTTAAAAGGGTAAGAATTTAAAGGGAATTGTTCATTTCAAAATATATTTAAAGCGTTGCAAGTAGCTATATTAAAACCATGAGATCTGCAAATCATTTCAGTCTAATACATTCCATCTTTTCACTAACTGTAAACTTATTATCACAAGAAAATAAAGCTGGTCAATTAACACTACTCGTTCTAAGTAAATGCAGGCTTCCGAGGCCCCTCTCAGTAGTTTCAGGTCACAAACAAGATTGATTCAAGTAAAAATGGCCATTTTAAGGGGAGTAGTAAAATGGTACATATGCGCTTATGAGAAAAACCTCAAAACACTGTTTAATGATAAAAACTGGAATAATTTAAGTATAGACATCTAATATAGTTTGTTCTAGCATATATTCAAAAAATCTGTTTTTGATTAAAATATTTGATGAGAAATCTGTAGAAACTTATGCTTCCTGCTGTGACATTGGACAGACACCTGATTTTAATTCATCAAAAAGACTCTTAATGGAGTCTTCCTTACTCCTCACAGAAGAGCCATTGGTGGGATTTAGTAAAACAATCTCTTTTCCTATGGCTCCATATTCCCATTTCAGCAGTTTCTGTTGTCGTCAGTTAAGGCAGCTCATATTCAGTGTATCTTGTAAAGGAAGCTTTGCTTGAGTCCCTGAACAGTAACCAGCTAGTTCCACCTCACAACAGAATCTCAGCCTGACTTTTAGGTCCAACTGCTTAATTTCCAACCAAATAGGGTGAGTGCAGGTTAACTGTTAAAAGCTGCAGTTAATTGGCTCAAGTACTTAATCAGATTCTTGCACATGATTAATCACTGTTCCATACTTTCATTGATACGGTGTGCTTAAAGACTTGGGAACACTTAAAGAGTGAGAAAAGCGAAGGAATTAAGTTAGAAGAAACTGTGTAAATGCATATAGTGCCTGTTCTGCATTTACTGGTTTGTTCAGTTTAAATAGTAAACTCTTAACTCCTGTGGAAATTTTGCCAAAACTTTCAATACATATAAGATTATAAATCTTAAACTAACACTGCACAGAGAAAGCTACTTCTTTTTTTAAATACAAATATCTTCTACATTCTATCATTTCAGACCCCTGAGTAATACTGTACCAAAGTACAGATCCGAAGAGAAACTGAGGGTTCAGGCCTCAAACGTTAATCTTCAATTAGTTCCACACCAATGGTGTGTCTCATGTAACACATTCAGGCTAGCTAATGCTGAGTCAATTTCCCCCTAACGTAGTATGTAGAAAGAAAATCAATGCAAACTCCATGTTCATTCTCCAAAGTGTATCCTCCTCAAGATCCCATGGGCAGACCATATCTTAAGTAATTGCATAACTGCCTAGGGTGGAGTTTACCTGAATTTAAGGTCCTGTAATTGGAATTGAAGGAGAATGATGTTCCCCCAAAGACCTGGGTCAGATTTGGGGAGTTCTTTGGAGAATAGACAAATATGTTGCACTTTGCTCCACAGTGATTGTACTTTAAAGAAAAAAAAAAATCCCAAATAGTTGTTTCTGTCCCACCCAACCTAATCATCCCTTTACGGTTTTTGGTCTCTTCAAAAGCTCATACATGGCGTCCAGTAAGAAAGAAGAGAGGTTTATCATCACTGCTGTTAGCAGTTTGAAACTCGTCCCGGAGGCGGAACTGCCACTCATCCTCTAGCTCTAAGCGGACAATTGTTTGTCGTAAGGAGCTTCTGTCTTGGCAGATGACACACAAAGTAGCACCTTCAGAAAAAAAGGCAAAAATGGGTCTTAGGCTCAGGGGTTGGAGTTCGAAGAAACTTACCACGTTTTCTAGTTATATTCTGTAAGCTCTCACATCTGAGAACCAATTTATGAGCAAGAAACCTATTAGAATTGTTCACTTTAATTATATTATGTGCTTTTGAAAAAGTTCTACAAATTCAGAAGTTAAAAGTGTAAAGTAAATAATCAAACAACCACACCCCCCTCTTCTGTGGTAACCAGTGTTAAAATCAATGTTATTTTTGTGTTTTTCTCCCAAACAGGGATTCTCAACCTTAGCACCACTGGAGTGGATAATTCTTTTTTTGTGAGAGGCTGTTCTGTGCTTTATAGGAACATCTCTTGGCTTCTCCCCACTATATGCCAGTAGCACCCCATAGTATGACAACAAAAATGTCTCCAGGCATTGATCAGTGTTTCCTGGGAAGCAAATACCCTCTCCCCCAATGAAAGCCAGTGCTCCAGAGGTACTTTGTAGTTACATAAATAAATGCACACTTCCCCCTATTTTCATCGCTGCACATAGTGATCTGAACCTTACTTTCTTAATTGACCTCAACAGTCATCTTGTCAGGGTTATTTGTGATCCTTAATCTGTAGTCTGTACTTAGGCAAATTCAACTTTCCATGGTACATACCTGTTGAAACTTTAGTTTCTTTATCGGAATCATATCTAAGGTTTTATGTCTATGAATGCAATTACACAAATTTGTGGCAGATAGGTCAGCTCTGTAGCACAACAGTAACACACTGCTCAGGAGAATCTGGATCCCACAGGGTGACTATGGTTCAAATCCCCAGCCTGGTCAGCTTGAAACATGATAGGGGATCGCAGTATGACCAGACCCCATGTAGAGGGCCCATTTCTCTCTCACATGCACACACTTGATCATGAATAAAGAAAAAAATTGTAGCGGTTGAGTTCCACTCTAGGCAACATGTCATATTTGGATTATTATAGAAAGTGTGTAGTTACATGCATGTACAGGTAGACTCATTAGCCTGATTTATTTCTAGTAAAACTTTTAGGTGCCAGCAGGTGACATGGTAGTTAAGGTGCTAGACTCCTACATAGCTGACCGCAGTTTGAGTCCCAGACCTAGTAGCTTGCTTTCTCACTTCCTCAACCCTAGTCTCTCTCTGGTCAAAATTTTAAAAACAAAATAAAATAATGAATAAAATTAAAAAGAAAATAATTATTAGGACCAGCAGATGACATAATGGTTATGTTGCTGGACTCCCAAGTAGTTGACTGTGGTTCGAGTGCCGACTGGTGGCTTAAAACTCATGCTGGGCGCATATGTGTGCATACCCAAAATCCCGAGAGGAGAATAGAGGAAAAGGGATTGTGACATGGCCATCCACCTTCGGGGGGTGATTTCTCGCTTTCTGTCTCTCTTCAGAGAGTACATGCATCCTATAGCAAAAATCTCTCTAAATAAAAACAATAATAATAATCTAGTTTATATGAGAAGCATTATTTATTCTTGTACTGCTTCATTCCTTTTAAAAATGAATAGTGGCAGGGTCAGCAGATGGCATGGTGGTTAAAGTTCTGGACACTCTCACATGGCTGACCACAGTTCAAGTCCCAGACCTAGTGGCTTGCTTTCTCACTTTCCTTCTCTCTCTCTTTCTCTCTCTCCTCTCTCTCTCTCTCTGGTCAAATTAAAATGAATGAATAAATAAAATTAAAATAATTCTTTAAAAAATTAATAGTGGCAAAAACTACCTGGATGTTTATCTGCATTTAGTCCCAGGATAACAATGACTTGGTAATTTTTTTTTTTTCACCCCCAATTAAAGAAACCAGTGACCTTGGTTTAAAAGCAAAGTATTTAGAGTATTAGCAAAAATTAGTGATAAGGTACTTTTAACATTTCTTCCTCTTCTGTATTTTGTCCAGTGAGAACCAGTTAGTATTAACAAGCAAGATACTAAGTTTGGTTTACCTTTTAGAAACTTAAATTTCTTAAGAAGATCAGCACCTACAAAAGAGTCACAGAGGTACAAAAGGAGTCCACTGAAAAACACCCCTTCACAGTTGACATTGCTGGAGTGGGGTCTGGAGCTGATGTAACATATGGCCACCTGAAATCATCAAGCAGAAATAGCATGGGCATTTCAAGAGCAAGAGAAGTGTCTGCACTTTAGCTGAATGAGTCAGAACCTCTTTTATTTCAGGGTAAGGTAAGAAAGATGAATTTTTTTCAATCTGACTTAAATGGTTATTTAAGCTTGGCATTTCTTTAATGTACCAAATTTTGACCAGTTTAAAGCTTCTCTTGTTTATGTCTCATAATAATTGCCTATTACGAGGGAAATTAGTAAAAAAATAAAACAAGCCCCTCCACCTAAATCTTTTATAAAATGGAAGAAGTGGGGACTATCAGGTGGCATAGTGGTTAAGGTGCTAGACTCCTACATGGCCAATCTTGGTTTGAGTTTTGGACCTGGGGGCTTAAAGATTGTGCTGGACACATGCATGCATGCCCAAAATCCCAGGAGGAGAAGGAATTGTGGCATGGCCATACCCCCAGGGGGATGACTTCTCACTTTCCTTGTCCTCATTTCTCTCTCTATGGCAAGTGCAAGTGCCAGAGGCAAAACCAAACAAAAACTGGAAGAAATGACTACTTTCTGCAGAAAAGCATACTTAAGATGAGATATTTAGATTATTCTGCTGAGAATAAGAAATATTTAATTAGCTTTTCATTTACCTATACTTAAATTTTCAGTTGGTTAGAATCTTAAAAGAGTACATTAATCAACATTTTTAGTTCTGTATGGCTTCCATGTACAGAAAATAAGTTCACAGAAATCACAGGTGTGCATTAAGGTGGCTGGGGTGAGAATGGTGGAAGGGTTAATAAATGGGCCTGTCTGCATGGATGCAAATACTGTTCCTATATTTAAGAGCCATGAGACACTGAGTAGTTTCCTTCATTTCACTGTACCTCACTTTCGGTAGGGATAAGATGGTACTTGTTTCATAGGGCTATACTGTAAATTAAATAATTAACATAAACATTTTGTAAGTATTCAGCAAATGTTAGTAGTTGCCAGTAGTAATAGTAGTATTGAAATTTATTGTCTTAATACCTAGAGCCTTGGACTCTGGGGTAGGGGATTTAGAGACATTCAGTTAGTCACATGACTTCATAGACAGCATACAAGATGTCATTCCATCCGATGGTTCAAGGTTCCTTCTAATTATAAAAATTCTACTGTTCACTGCCCACCCTACTGTATGCAGCTATCAGTGACTTGGGTGGTACCCAATTTGTTTAGTAATTGTTGAGCTCCTCTTTATATGTCTAAAACGGTGGCTAAGACATTCTGTGCCTTTGAAAGAAGTGACACTTTTACTTGAATTTTCACCACAATTATAATAAAGTCTGAAAAATCTTAGAGGAGCCAGTAACTGCTTTTGCTCAGGACTTTCACAGTTGGCTGTTTAGAGGAGCTGACATCTGAGCTAAGCTTCTTGTAGGAGCTAACATTTAGGCTAAACCACGGGTGTTTCCTGGCTCATTCTGTGGAGATGAAATAGGTCTGGGAGAGGACGGTTATCACCACATCTCGTGTAAGCCTTTGCGTAAGTGAGTACGGCACAGGCTCCCTTCTGTCTTTAAGTCTTTCAACTGCTGAAATGGGCAAGGAATGGATGGATGTGGGTAAGCACAGCTCCACCCCCAGCCCTTCCAGCCCTCCGCCCCCTGCCTTTACCTCTGGTCCAATGTTAAGGTAGCAGTCAATGGCCAACACAGGACTTCTGAAGTTATGGATGGCTTTGGGGAAAAGTTTATACGAGGCATGCTGAAGGAACTTCTCCAGGAGAAACTGCGCAGGGGCTGCCAGGAGCGTGTGTTCACTGTCGGGGGCACAGACATACTGAAGGGGCAAAATGGGTGCTAAGTTCTCTGACACCTGAAACAGAGCCAAGATGATAAAGGAAATACGTCTGTCACTGGATGACAAGGGGCAAGGAAACACTGGATTGCATACTAACAGTCCCCAAATAATAGCAGTAGCACAATGACAGATGCTAGGTTCCAGTGTACATCTGTCATTCTTGGATCTTGAACTTTTTTCCCCTTGAGACTAGTACAGTAGGATTTAATGTGCGTTACATACTGCAAGGGCAGGAAAAAGTGGAAGGTAGGCCTCTTTGAAAGGTACTGCATTAACAAGTACATTGTGAAGTCTCATAGGAAACCTGTACAATGCTGCTGGGTCTATGTGGATTAAATGCTGTCCCATCCCAACCAAAAAGCAGCAGAGGTTTCTAAGTTTCAGTGAGTGACTGACTACTTGCTGCAAATGATTAGTGACCAGTAAATCTCTTAGAAAAGGGTAGGCCCATGGAATGCACTCTTTACAGGTCTAGATTTGTATTACTTTCTTTTAAAAAAAAAAATCTGGCAAAGGAGTAGACAAGCACCTTGATTTTACAGTTCTCTTGGGTATTCCATCACGAATGTAACCATGTAAAATTTGGCATCTCAAAACTAAAAGTTGGATGAAACTGTCAAGGTGTAAACTTGCTTAAACTTCCATTTTGGATCTAGACATGAGACTGCAAATTTGACATTTAGAACTGTCCTTCCTAGTCAGTGGGAAGTGCTTAATGCCAGTATCTGATCAGAAAAATATTAATAAGAAATCTGTGCCTCTTTTCAAAGGTACAGTTCACACTTGCAAAACTTACCATGATCTTTGGCTTAATGATAAAGTCTCTTTGCCCGCCAACCTGAACATGTTTCTTCATGAGACTGAAGTTATTAAAGCGACAGATGAGCAGGCCACTACTGTTTGTTCTCAGGTTAAAGTCAACGTCTTCACAAAAATACCTGAATCATAACCACAATGATAGTTTATTGAACTATCACTTCTTTTTTTTTTTTTTACATTTTTAAAAAAGAATTATTTATTTATTTCCATTTGTTATTGTTATTTTTTTTTTATTTGACGAGAGAGAGAGAGAGAAAGAGAAAGAGAAAGTGAGAAAGTAAGCCGCCAGGTCTGGGACTTGAACCATGGGTGACTATGTGGGAGTCCAGTGCCCTTATCCACCACCCCACCTGCTGGCCCCGAACTATCACTTCTTTTTTTTTTTTTTACATTTTTAAAAAAGAATTATTTATTTATTTCCATTTGTTATTGTTATTTTTTTTTTATTTGACGAGAGAGAGAGAGAGAAAGAGAAAGAGAAAGTGAGAAAGTAAGCCGCCAGGTCTGGGACTTGAACCATGGGTGACTATGTGGGAGTCCAGTGCCCTTATCCACCACACCACCTGCTGGCCCCGAACTATCACTTCTTATTCATGGTAATTACAGAGAAATGAATGGCAGATGCTGGGAAAGAGGGTAAAACAATCAACCTTGCCCTCGGGGAGCTGGCTCTCCTAATACTTGAGGAAACCTTGTTTTGGGCGTTAGTCATTAAAAGGAGAAGAAAGTGAGGTAGTTTTTGTCCCAGGTATGCTACAGGACTTCAGGTATTGGTCAGAAATAGGACTGTATGTTCTTTATACCCTGGCAGAAAAGGAGGTACAGACGTGCTCCCAGTTTTAAAATTCTGGCTATAAACAAGATGAAGCATTTGCCAAATTTAAAACAAGTGAAAGAGAGGCCAGCAGGTAGCGTGGTGGTTAAGGTGCTGGACTCCCACACGGCCAGTTGTAGATCAAGCCCGGACCTGGTGGCTTGCTTTCTCATTTTCCCTCTCTTTCTCTCTGTCTCACTCTCTGGTCAAATGAAAAAAAAAAAAAAAAGTGAATAAAATTTAAAAAACAAAACCAAATGAGAGCAGTGGCTACTGTGATAGCCACAGGTTGGGGTTGACCCTAAGAGGGTACCTGATGTTCTTCCTTTGCCCTTTCTTGATTTTTCAGGAATCTGAATCTAATGTTTTTGGGAAGCAAGGTCAGGGCCAGCCTGCTTATCCCCATCTGCTGTGCTTGCCTAGAGGGTCCAGATCTCTGGGTCATACTAACATTTGGGGAAAGTGATTTCCCTCTGAGTTCTGAGGGTGAATAAGGGTTTATTTAGTCTTAGAGGTTTATGAGTCCACATACTGATTTGTGTTGATTCAAGAGTAGGTTTCTTAGTTCTTGCTGAATGATGAGAGGACTAATGTGTTTTCTAGGAATTTAATATTGTAACATTTATTTTTTGTATTCATGATAGAATATGTGTGCATGCATAAGAGAGAAAAAGAGAAGTGCCTTCAGGAGGTTCAGTCATGCCATGTTCCTTCCTTCAGCCTCTAGCCCGCCAGGATCCTGGGCACATATGCAGGTACCCAGTGTGTTTTCAGACCAACTAGGCTTGGACCCAAAGCATGGCTGGCATGTGACTTTCAACTTCAGTTTGTTATGCCACCTACTGTATCACAGAGGCTGGCCCACACTGTAATTATAAAGAGTCTAGATGGGGGGGGACAGGTGGCATGGTGGTTAAAGCCACTGGACTCCCACATGGCTGACCACGGTTCAAGTCCTGAACCTGGCAGCTTGGTTTCTCATGTTCCCTCTCTTTCTCTGTCTCTCTGATTGAACTGGAAAAATAAATAAATAAATAAAGTTAAAAAAAATCTAGATCAGAAGGGCCAGCAGGTGGCATAGTAGTTAAGGGTACTGGACTTCCGCATGGTTCGAGTCACAGACCTGGTGGCTTGCTTTCTCAATTTCCCTCTCTCTTGTTTTCGCAATGTCCCTCTCTGGTCAAATTAAAAATAAAGTTAAGTGGGACCAGCAGTTAGCGTAATGGCTATGTCGCTGGACTCCCACGTAGTCGACCGCGGTTCGAGTCCCGGACCCGGTGGCTTAAAACTCACGCCAGGCGCATGTGCGTGTGTGCCCAAGATCCCGAGAGGAGAATGGAGGAGAAGGGATTGCGGCGTGGCCATCCCCCCTGGGGGGTGATTTCCTACTTTCTGTCTCTCTGTCTCTCTCTGTCAGTCTGGCGAGCGCACGCGCCCTATAGCAAAAACCTCTCCAAAAAAAAATAAAGTAAAATAATTCTTAAAAAAATTAGTAGGTCAGTTTGAAGGGTGATGAAAAAGGTGTACTTCGGGGCTATGATCCCCTCCTTTCTTGTACATACAATAGAAAGGCTTGAGCTGGGCAGAAATAATCATTAGATGGCAGGATTTCCTTTATCGGACTTACCTGTTGAAGTCATACTGCACATTCTGAGTCAAATCTATGTTGAGGAGAATGAAATCATGCACATGGCACCTAGAAAACGGGGCCTTTAGGCTCTGAGAAGTCAGCTTGCTGCTCCACTTTTGTATGCCCAGGATTGCGTAGTGGATGATTTTTGGTGTGGCCTCAATATGCTGCAGGACACTCTTCAAGGACACATTCTTACTAGAAACTCCTGCTTCCATGGACTGGCTGTGAAATGTAAAGTTAGCTTGTATAAGACGTCAGTGAATACTAAGAAGGTCATTTATGAAGGGCAACACTACTGTACACTAGTCATACTGTAAGGGATGTAAGTTGCTGATTTAGTATGAGCTTGGACTAGAGAAAGAGGTCAAGCCTAGTTAATATATTTTCACAATGAGCTTGAAGCTGCCCTATGGGGGTGGGGCTTATCACTTTAAGGCAGAGGAAAAAACAGCCCATACTTCAAAGCGAGTTAGCAGGGAGTTACCAAAGAGAGGTAGCAGGGGTTAGCAGCATGTAAAGTGTACTTCTGATTTTGGCAATTACGTATAACAAAGGAATATCTGAACATGTCACTGGCTTCAAATCCACAGTGGTAATGAGGGCATACAGTCACAGCGTTTGAGCGGAAAGGGCCCAGAGATCATTAGGCCTAGTGTTTGATAGAGCAGCTATTGAATTTTGGGGCTCTTTATTCTGTATGACTTTTCAGTGTTTAGAATTCCCTCATCCTCATGGATTCCTTGCCCACCACCCCTTACCACTGTGACATCCTCAAATGTTCCAGGAGGAGAACCACTGATTTTAGTTTAGCGAGAATTTTACGAGTGGTGAAGCTAACAGAGAGGCGAATGATTTTTCCTTTCAAAAAGCAGAGATGAGCCTAAAACCAGAACTGATTGAGGTTCCAGAAGTCTTTCTATTTAAATCAATGTTTCAACAGACTTTCATAGCCACCTAACACCATGATGCAGAAATACCCAGGAATGCAAGGCATCCTGAATGTCTAAATAAAGAACTCATAAGTCACCACAAAATATGCTAAGGAGGCTGGTCTCTATCAACTATTCAGCTTTAGAAAGCTGCGTCTCTCACTCGCTTCCACGTGAAACTGCACCTGTATCCTATCATACTCCACTAAAACTGTTCAGGAGTGTCCTACCTGGTCTGCTCCTGAATGCTGTGAATGTTCCATAGGACACATGAGTCATCCATCACGACGATGAATGGCCACACACACTGGCGTTTAACTCCCATCTCCTCCAGGCGGTTCCTCTCCAGTTCCAGGTTGTGATATGACAGCTCCTTGATGAGGAACCTGGCAGCACCTGGAAGGGAGCATAACTCTGGCTTTCCATCTTTCACTCAGGTTTAGCCAAAGCCCCACAGGCAGCTCACATTCTCTCCACGGGCATGCCTGTTCACATGGCAGCTGGGTAGCTGAGAGCCGGCCAGATGTTCAGAACAGGGTTCTCAGAGCCTCTTGGGAAATCTTTACAGTGTAGATTCCTGGTGCCTGTCACCAGAGATTCACTTGAGTAGGTCTGGTGAAGAGCCAAAAGCCAGGTTGTTTTGATGATGCAGATGATACATAAACTACACTGTGAGGAGTACTGCAAGAATCTAGTTTCCCTGATAGGACCACAGGCAGGAAATGCTATTACTGAGGGGTTCCTTACAGCACAACAAGAGACTCGCTCAGTCTTGAAAGCAGCTACCCACAAGTCCTCACTAAGCAGCAGCCAGGGCTGCAGTGAGTGGGGATGCCACTTCCACTAGTGCAGCTCTGTTGTAGATACTTGGAGGAAAGTGTATCTTCTCTTAAGATGATTCTGGAGATTGGCACCCTTTCTCCTGATTTGCTTTTTTTGAAGAGGCAGTAATGGCATAATACCTCTTGGGAAATCTTTACAGTGTAGATTCCTGGTGCCTGTCACCAGAGATTCACTTGAGTAGGTCTGGTGAAGAGCCAAAAGCCAGGTTGTTTTGATGATGCAGATACATAAACTACACTGTGAGGAGTACTGCAAGAATCTAGTTTCCCTGATAGGACCACAGGCAGGAAATGCTATTACTGAGGGGTTCCTTACAGCACAACAAGAGACTCGCTCAGTCTTGAAAGCAGCTACCCACAAGTCCTCACTAAGCAGCAGCCAGGGCTGCAGTGAGTGGGGATGCCACTTCCACTAGTGCAGCTCTGTTGTAGATACTTGGAGGAAAGTGTATCTTCTCTTAAGATGATTCTGGAGATTGGCACCCTTTCTCCTGATTTGCTTTTTTTGAAGAGGCAGTAATGGCATAATAAGAAAACAGACTAGGGACAAGCTGCATGAGTTTGAATCCTGATTCCACCACTTTTTAGCCCTGCGACCCTAAAAAAGTTAACTTCACTGTGCCTTGAATCCCCCACCTGTAAGAAGGCAATGATGTCTATCTCATAGAGATGTTGTTCGGGGCTCAGGACAGTGCCTAGCACATGGTGAGTGCTCAAGGAGTGCTAGCAAATAAGATGAGGATCATCAGGAATTAGCCAGATTTTATGAGTGGGCCACCCTAAAATGAAACAAATTTTATGATAATGAAATGAAGAGGATTAAAAAAAAAGCTAGTAAGTCTATTCAGGAACCCAAAACTAAACAGATCAAGGGTAATACTCGAATTTAGGAAAATCTACTTTTCAAGAGCATGTGTGTAATAGTTTGCACCCTCAACATAATAAGGGTCATACATGAAAAGCCCACAGCTGACGTCATCATAGTCAGTGGTAAAAGACTGAAAGCTTAAGAAAGAGATGCCTGCTTTTACACTTGTATTTAACATACTGCTGCAAGTGTACTAGTCAGATCTGGCATTTAGGCAAGAAGACATAAAAGGCATCCAAATTGGAAAGAAGTAAAATTACCTCTGTTCCTAGATATGCATGTCTTATAAGTAGAAAATCCTAAAAATTCCACAAAAAAGCCTGTTAGAATTAATGAACTCAGCATACAAAATCAACACCAAAAATTAGTTGTGTTTTTGTATGCCATCAATGATCAGTCTAAAAAAAGGAAATGAAAAAAACAATTCCATTCACATAGCATCAGAAGAAAACAACACTTAGGAATAAACCTAGTCAAAAGACTTAAACAGCAGAAAGTACAAGCCATTACTAAAAGAATATGCGAGTAAATGGAAAGACAGTTCATATTCATGGATGTGATCTTAGAAGAACTAATATTGTTAGATGTCAGTCCTATCCAAAGTGATCTATAAATTTAATGCAATTCCTGTTAAAATCACAATGACTATTTGTAGAAATAGAAAAACCCAGGACCAGTAAGTGGGCGGAGGTTAAAACTGGATTCCACATGTATGACTGTGTAGTTTGAGTCCTGGACCCAGTGGTTTGAAAAACATGCCATGCACATGTGTGCCTAAAATCCTGAGAGGAGAATGGAGAATGGATTGTGGTGTGGCCATCCCCCCTTGCAGGGGTTGGGGAGGGGTCTCACTTTCTGTGGCAAACACATCCTCTAGTAAATGCTAAAAGAAAAAGAAAAATCCACCGGTAAATTAATGCAGACTCTCAAGAGACCTGAAATAGCCACAACCATACTGACAAAGAAGAACAAAATTGGAGGTCTTACACTTCCTGATTTCAAAACTTAATACAAAGCTGTAATAATCAAAATGGTGTAGTGGCATAAAGATAAGACATATAGAGTCCAGAAATAAACCCTCTCAAGTTGATCATCTATGAGAGGGTTTATTTTGGGTGGCAAAGCCATTCAAAAGGAAAGTACAGGGACCAGCAGATGGCATAATGGTTACGTTGCTGGACTCAACATGTAGTTAACCAAGTCCCAGACCTAGCAGCTCAAAGCTCACACCAGGCACGTGTGTGTGCATGCCCAAATTCCTGAGAGGAGAATGGAGGAGAAGGGATTACAGTGTGGTCATCTCCCCAGGGTTGATTTCTTGCTTTCTGTCTCTCCGTCTCTGTCTTTCTGGTAAGTGCATATGCTCGATAGCAAAAACCTCTCTTAAAAAAAGGACAGTATAGGCTCTTCTATAAATGGTATTGGGAAAACTGGATATCCACATGTGAAAAAATGAAATTGGAACCTTACCTTAGGCCATATACAGAAATTAATTCAAAAATGGGTCAGAGACGTAAATGCTAGAACTATACAAATTTTAGAAGAAAACATAAGGGAAGGCTTTGTGACATTGAATTTAACAGTGATATTTTGTATATGATACCAGAATCACAGGCAACAAAAACAGACAAACTGGACTTCATCAAAATTAGTATCTTTGGGACCAGTAGGTGGTAGTGGGTAAGGCACTGGACTCCCACGTGGCCAACCATGGTTCAAATCCTAGATCTGGAGGCTTGAAACTCACACTGGGCACATGTGCATGCATGCTAACTCTGAGAGGAGAATGGAGAAGGGATTGTGGCAAGGCCATCCCCCTGGGGGCTGATTTCTCATTTTCTCTCTGTCTCTGTCTCTCCAGTGATTGCACACACCTTATAGCCAAAATATCGGCCATGTGGGAGTGTCCAGCACCCTAACCACCACGCCACCTACTGGTCCCCACCACTCTTGCTAGAGAAGGAGTGAGGGAGGGACCAGCAGTTAGCGTAATGGCTATGTCACTGAACTCCCATGTAGCTAACTGTAGTTTGAGTTCCGGGCCCAGTGGCTTAAACTCACGCCGGGCACGTGTGCGTGCATGCCCAAGATCCCGAGAGGAGAATGGAGGAGAAGGGATTGCGGCGTGGCCACGCCCCTGGGAGGTGACTTCTTGCTTTCTGTCTCTCTCTCTGTCTCTGTCTTTCTGGTGAGCGCACATGCCCTATAGCAAAAACCTCTCAAAAAACAAACAAACAAAAAACCACCAAGAAAGAGTGATGGGGAAAGCACTCCTCACTGGGGCATGGCCACACTAGTCTCTTCTCTGTCTCTCCATCCTGTCAAAATTTTGGGTGCATGCTCAAACGGTATGTTTTTCTTTTTTAAATTAATTAATTAGAAAAAATTTGCTATAGGACGCATGCACACACTTGCCAGAGAAACAGAGAGACAGAAAGCATTACCCTTTGCCAAGGGGGTATGGCCGTGCTGCAGTCCCTCCTCCTCCATTCTCCTCTTGGGATTTTGGGCACACATGCACATGCCGCCAGTGTGAATTTTAAGCTGCTGGGTCCAGAACTCAAAATGTGGTCGACTATGTGGGACTCCATGCTGCAGTCCCTTCTCCTCCATTCTCCTCTTGGGATTTTGGGCATGCATGCACATGCCACCAGTGTGAATTTTAAGCTGCTGGGTCCGGAACTCTTAAGTGTGGTCGACTATGTGGGACTCCAGTGATGTAACTATTATGCCATCTGCTGGTCCCTATTTATTTGTTTTTAATTTGACCAGAGCGACAGA